CCGCCCCTCTGTCCCCGGCAGAAAGTCCAGGTGGTGGTCACGGTGCTGGACTACGACAAGCTGGGCAAGAACGAAGCCATCGGCAAGATCTTCGTGGGCAGCAACGCCACGGGCACGGAGCTGCGGCACTGGTCCGACATGCTGGCCAACCCGCGCCGGCCCATCGCCCAGTGGCACTCGCTGAAGCCCGAGGAGGAGGTGGACGCTCTCCTGGGCAAGAACAAGTAGGAGCAGCGGCCGCCGCGGCCGCACGGCCGGCTCGGACGACAGACCCAGAGCTCTCGATACCTCAGTTATGCCCTCGAGGTTCCCCCCTGTGGTCGCGTCCTCGTTCCCCTTCCTTTCCGTCTGTTTAAAGACCGGCTTCCCGCTGGCGGCTCTGAGGAGCCTCCCCAACCAGCGGACGAGGAGCCCGGCTCTTGTCACCGTCCGGGAGCCGCCCGCTGCTGCATGCCCGTCACCACCATCGTCATCGCGGTCCCATCAGGGTCCCTCGGTCCCAGCCTCGCCCGAGCCTCGCGGGAGTGAGGCCCTCTGGTGGCAGAAAGTCGCGACGTGTCCCGGTTTTTTTGCGTGTTCTGGACCCACACAATGGCACTTGCTGTGTCCTGGGGGGGAAGGCTGCACAGTGGCCAGCGACGGTGTGCACACGTGTTCACATGTGGGTGCACACGTATACACTCATGTGTGTGAGTGCGTGCAAGGGCATTGTGCATGAGTGTGTGTGTGTGTGTGTGCGCGCATTGTGCACACGTGCGTGTATGCATGTGTGTGAGCGCATTGTGTGTGCATGTGTGTAAGGGCATTGTGCACACGTGTGCGTGTGCATGTGTGAGGGCATTGTGCACACGTGTGTGCATGCATGTGAGCATCTCCACATTCCTGGAACGAGCCATGGACAGCGCACTGCTGCAGGGATGGAAGGCTCTCCGGGGACCCTGACGCCACCGCAGGTCCTCGGTCTGCGTGGGAGGCAGCGGTGGTGAAGGCCCCCGACCCGCCCAGGTGCCGGAAGCGCCCGCCCTCCTCACGGGCGACCGTCTGGAGGCGAGCTGTGGGGATGGATCTGTCCGGAGCCAGGACCAAGCCCGGCCACCGTGGACTTCCTGTGCTCAGCGCGGTGGCCCACGGGGGTGGCTTCTGGGACATTCGTGGACGTGAGCCGTTTGCCGGGTTGGTCGGCCTCCGAGGGGACTGTCAGTCCCGGGACCTCACGCTCCTTGACCGTTCATCTCACACCACAAAGAACCAGGGGCCCCGTGACCCCGAGGCCAAGCGCCGCTCCTGGACCCTTGCCCCCCTCCCCCCGCCCCGGGGGAGCAGACTCCGCACGGCCCACGCCCTCATTTCCCATCATGCTTTGGCTCGTTTCCGCTCTTAAACCAAGTGGAGCAACCTGTGGCAGACGCGGCACCGGAGGCAGAGGGAGCTTTACCGGGGACGTTGGCTGGTTTAGTCCCCGAGGTCCAGGTGAGGCGGGGGGACGGGGGGACGGGGGGCAGACAGGGCACGGAGGGTCCCCGGCTCCCACCCCTTGGTCCTCCTGGCCGGAGGCGGTGGGCAGCAGCGTGGCCCCAGGCGTGTGGCACCGGCCGCCCTTCCTCGGGAGAAGGCTCCAAATTCCGAGAGGCAGGGCCCCCTCCAAACGGGGGTGGAGGACACTGGGGTTGCTCCCCATGCTCTCGTCCCCGCCCTGTCTCCCTGTGCCCCCAGCATTGATAAAAAGCCATATATATGTTCCCGTCGGCACTGAGTCCCCTTCCAGACCCACAGCCGGGCGAGCGAGGCAGCCCCTGGCCGTATCCCCCAGCCATGCACCCCTCCCTCAGCCCTGAAGCCCACAGGCCCCCCACATCCATGAGAACTCTCCTCCCTGGATTACACCCCCCCCCCACATCCCCTCGGCTTCCTTGGCGTCTGGGACAGGTGGCCGGTGTTGGAGCAGCAGCACCAGGTGCAGGCAGCTCCTGTTTTACCGAGAGGAGGAGGGCGCGTGGTCTTGGCTTTGCCACCTTCAGCTGGAGGGGGGGTGAGGGGACCCTGCACCCGAAACGGGGGAGCAGCTTGGCCTCACCCGCCTCTCAGAGCCCCCTCCCCGCAGCCTTGGGACGTGGAAGTTTGTTCCTGGACCCCGTGTGTGCACACGTGTGTGTATATGTGTGTTCTCATGATGAGGCAGGAGGACCCCACAGGGTGAGGAGTGTGTAGGGCAGGGGGTGCCCTCAGAGACGGAGGTCAGAGGTCCCTGGGCTCCGCCCCCTGCTCCAGAGCAGTGGGACTTTGGTGCTTTCTCAGGGTGTGTCCCCCTCATTCCCTCCCACAAACCTTATCACAGACTATCCGGTCAATCTCACCCCCTTCCCTGCCCACCTACCCGCTCCCCCACCTTCCCGGTCTTCCCGAGCCCATGTCGACCTCACACAGGCTCCTCTGGGTCTCGTCACTCTGGGCCCACCTCTAGGGGGCGGCCTCGAGGGTTGGGGACAGGGCTGAGAGTCTGTGTTGGCTCCAGAGACACCTGGGTGTGGGGGGGCCATGGGCCCGGATGAGCCATTCTGCAGAAGGCGCCTGTCTGGCCTGCGTAGGAGTTCTCCCCACTGGGGGCGGCATTACCCAAGCCACAGGGCACGTTCTGAGCCCTTACTGCCCCATGGGGTTCTTTCTGGGCCCTTAGGGAGTGGGGTGCCGGCCCCACGTAGGAGGCAGTGGGGGCTGGAGGCCTCCGGGGCTGGGAGTCTGAAACCATGAAAACAGCCCCACCCCGAACCCAGGTGAGGCCAGGAGGCTGGGCTTCCTCCTTCCTCCTCGGGGATCTTTCCGGAAGGGAGACCAGCTCCGCCAGGGCCAGGCGGGCGGACAGGTGAGGCAGAGGTGGGGGAGCAGGTGCCGGGCATGAGAGGGAATTGAGATTACAGGGGTCCCTCCGCCCCGCACCCTCTTCCGCGGGATCTGTCAGGGGGCGGGGCCGGCCCAGGGCTTCAGCCAGGAGACGGGGGTTGCAGCCACCCTCGAGGCAGTGGGGTGCCCGTGGGGGAGCCCAGAGGTTGAGAACTGTCCCCCTCCACCGACCCCCTCTCCCCACCCCCTGGGGGAGGGCAGGCAGGGAAGTGTCCCAGGCTGGATCTTGGGGCCCAGAGCCCCGTGACATGAACAGTGAAACTGTCAAACGTAGGGGCGTCCCAGGCACGACTTGGGACACAACCCACTGAATGTACTTGGCTGTGTGTCCCTGACATTCGAGTCTAACTGGCCTGGCTGTGGGTCTGTGACCGTGTCTCCCGGGGGGGGCGGCGGGAAGGGGGCCCCTCGTCCGGTGGAGACAGGTCCCCAAGGGTTTCTCCCCCCCTGGGTTTTGAGCTGCAATATAATGGAGGAGGAGGACGTGTAGACTTGAAGACACATGAATATACTTTTTTAAGCGACAACAAAACCAGAACCTTCTGAAGCCATTTGAGCCGCTCCCCCCCCGCCCCCCGTGGGTACAGTTGTCTGTAACTGACCCCGTCCCCCTAGACGCCTGACCGAGCCTTGTCCCACATGCATGTCTTCCTGTGAGCAGCGCATGG